GTGGCTACACACATACACGAACACACACATGCGAGCGATTGCATGACCTCCGTTTGCGCGGAGGTAATTACTAATGCAATATAGCAATATGCAATATGCAAATCTTAAGCGCACGACGTACGGTCACGATATTCGGGTTGTCTGGGGGGGGGGAATCGTGAAAAGGACTCGGGATAACAAATTTGGGGGTCAAGGGTCAAAGGTCAAGATGTGTAAACGCAGGGGGAATATTTACCCCTTAACTTAAGGTATAGGAGGAAATACGGAATTGCGGCACAAATCTTAACGGCTCGACCTATGCTCTTAATATTCGGTGACAGTGTATAGTGTCATGGGCAGGAAACCCATCACAAGTGCGAAATTAGAGGTCACAGGTCAAAGGGCAGTGGGGGAAAGGTCAGATATCAGACATTTTCTGAGGACATGGCCTAATGGACAGAGTGAAAAACTTTTTTGTTTCAGCGCTGACCTAACATTTTTATCACTTTATTGAAAGGACCATGAAATGTGCTTTCCACTGACGTGCGAAGAGTAAGTGTCTGATAACCTTTTGACCCTCAAGAGGCGGGTTAAACATGGATTCCTGAACTGCCTCAATGATGTCACAGTGTTCTCATATTCATGGCACATCCATAATCTGGAACGCCAATAATCCTAAATAGTCGAACGGGTACAGCACAGGATTACGGTTCAAAAGTCCTTGGATCGAATCACATCAATTTTTATATTATTTACCTGTTTTCTGTATTTTTCTCATCTTTATCTATTTAACTATTTTTTTTCCATTAACGCAAATATTTACATGATTTATTTACAACAATTTAATAACAACAAATAATTTTTACAACAATTAAATTTTAATTTTTTTTAATAGGGTTAGGGTTAGGGTCACAATGCACCATTATATAGTTTTTGCAAATTATACGTATTTTCTGGCACATAATGAAGACGCGCACGTTTATTCCTAGAGAACGCTGCTTCTCGCGGGGGGGGGGTTGAATATATGAACGTGCATGCACAGGTCTGCGCTTTTTTCCAGTGATGACCCGGTCAGACGTACCACTGAGCTGTATATAATCAAGAGCTAATATAATACATTATTATTATTACATTTATTATTAGCTTTTGCTATAACCAGGAGTGTATAATATAGAATGTATATACCTATATTATACAATCCTGATATAATAATTAACATGTTTAATAACTAATATTATGTATTATGTATTATTAGCTGTCGAGATGAGAGTTTTTTCGAGATTTTTTATCCAATGTACCGTAGTAAATAAATCAAACTAAATTATGTATATATGATATTATATACAGCGCAGTGGTCAGTGGTTAGACCATAGAAATAATAAAATAGTTAGACTAGTGTCTCTATATATTTCTATGGGCCAAGTTCAGGGTTCCTATATGCCCTATATTGGTCTCAGGGTCAGGTCGGGTTAAATTATAAACAAGTGAACATTAATCTATTCAATATGGCAGCGCCCACTCAAAAGTAATGAAGTTGTTTATTAATTTGTTACAATATTTGTTACGTTTTCATGAATACTTTATTGACGAAATCTACTCGAAATGAGACGGCATGTGCAATAGCGATTTTCTAAATCTAAGTTGAGTTTATTTGTTTTTATAAGGACCGCTTATTGTCTGTTCAAAGATGAACCGGCACGATTATCATATAATCTTTTACACTGTTCTGTTGTCGTTTCTGTCCCTATCTACAATGCCGACAACAACGTCTAAAGTAGAGGCAGAAACTAAAGTCGATTCAGACATCGGTGCAGAACTACAAGAACCTCATGAAGATGCAGGCAATGCATACGGCTCTAAACAGGAGACAGCGCGTAATGACATTCCGTCAACAATCATCTCAACTCGAGATTCAATATCGCGCCGTGCAGATGACGAGCAAAATGCATACGAAGCTCAGTCAGACTACGTAATTATGACAGATAATCCTAACGGAGCGGATGTTGACGTGGATCCGAGTCATGGTTTGCTGACACCAACAGAAGATGAGCGTCGATCGAGTACCACTAGTACTACTACTACTAAACCTGCTCAACGCAATGAGACGGGCCAACTCACGCCATTACAGCTGTACCAGAAGATGTTCCTTGTAAAGCGAAAGGAGCAGCGATTCGCAATCCAGCCGCTAACGGGCATGACAAATTATGCAACGCAGTACAAGATGATACAAACAGTATTAAACAAGATGTTTGAGGTGATGTCCAAGGTACAAGTGATTCTACAGGAAGCAGGATTCATCGCAGGTAAAAATATATTTTTTAAAAGAAGGAGATAACTGCAATCGTATAAACCTATCAGGTGAATTAGTGCTCTAATGTTTTAAAGCTATTTTTGCCAGATAGCCGTCAGTTGCATGTAAATAAGTTGTATACACTGACCATTAATCTCATGTCGTGTCTATCGTACCAGGCGATGATTTCCCAAGTGATTCAGCGCTGAGAGAAGCCGTCGCGCACATACTCGAAAACATGGCCATGTTTGGGGATCTGCTCCTGCGCTTTCCAGACATGGTCCACAAAATGTATGCAGCGAGAAAGGACTGGCAACTTCTGTCCCGATGGAGTCTAGGATTTTGCAATGACAGCAATTTCTATCCAGAACAGGTGCATATTCCTTCCTCATTGCTATCCAGGTTTTGTCAAGTTCACTGGTTTAATCTTATCCTGGTTTAATCATTACATACAGAAATCATTTGCATACCATGTGTTATTATTGGATTAGTTACCTTCGTGCAAATTTAACTTTGATGTCGAGACAAATCATAATAGTACTTAGGAAAATATATATTGCATTACAACATTTATGATAATTTACCATAACATGTCTTATCTATTATGCATATACACTTTTTGTACAAGCTGTAATGACCTAATGTATACAGTAAGTATGTATTTAAACATTGGTTTGCTGAACGTCAGTTATTTGCATTTTTTACATGTAGGATGTCAAGCTCTTATACTTGATATCACAGGAGCTAAACCTGACAGAGAGAGATCCAAACTATGAGAACCCATTCAGGGAAGAGTTTTTGAAGCAGCAGGCTAAACTTAAGGAGCAACAGGAAGAGGTTGCTCTAATACTACTAGCCCGCAACCTAACTGCCATGAAGCCATATCTGTATTACTAGATATGATACTTCAGTATAAGATGCAAAATGGGATTTCACTGGTGGTACAATTAAACAAAAATTTATTACTGCTAAAAAGGAACTAGTTCAACATCATGAGAGTTTTTTTTTATGAATCTTATTGATAAAAGTTGTTATCAAATTTTCTGTTCTTGGTGTCTATCTCAACATTGGATGTTATTATTATATTGTGTCCTGTATGTTATTTATCAGAAATCTGTAATAATTTCTGTAACATTATTTTACTCACAGGCGAAGAAAGAAGCAAAGAAACAGAAGAAACAGCAGAAGCGAAAAGGACCAAGAATGAGCAAATCGAGACACTCAGAATTATGATTGGTGTATGAATTGTGTGATAACAGACTACATAATCATTTACATTAACTACATTTGATCTACAAATTGATCTCATCTCACTTCCATGCTAAGGTAGAGTACGAGCTAGCTGACTGAGTTTAATCCGAGTTAAAATTAAAAAATACTGTTTACCCAGCTCGTAAAAAATAAAATTTTGCATAAACTGTCTATAACTCTCGCAACTGTCATTTACTTTGTAGTGGAATGCTATGTTTGAATATGTATTAGCTGGGTCACTGCCTTTAATTTAATAAACTGAGGATTTTCCTGGTAAATTGACTTATTATTATTTTTATGGGCAACATATCCAACTAAACAACTTAGTTGGCAACTAACAAATCGGCAATAATTGGGGGAGAGAGAGTAGAGAAACTTTTCGTGTCTACATTTCGTGTTTGTTTACTATCAATTTACTATTGAAACGTTCCAACTGCCTGTGGGCAGCATCTCTGGCTGAGAAATGCTCATGTACATTGCATGCACATGCTCAGCTCCATGGTAAACAATATTGACCTCTATACCGGAAAATATCGTAGCACGTGACCTGCCAAGGAGCCAATCAGCCTTCATGGTAAATCGCGGTTCCGGAACTCGTCCCGTGTTAGTGTTAGACTGGTACCTGTCCCTTCTCACACGCTCGATATAGCTCCGCTCGAGCGCGTGAGAAGGGACGGGTACCAGTCAAGTATCAGTGTATGAGTCCGGTGCTGGCAGATGTTAGTAATCGGAGCTTGTTGTGTGCTAATTTTAATTGCCTTTATTCTTCGGAAGGGGTCAAGTCAAGGGTATATTGTAAGTCAGTATTTTTTCTAGTATCGTGATACGTAATAATCGTGTTTAGATATGACTTTTTATGTTTCATGTGTTATTGTTCTTGAGCAACACGGTGAACACCTTTCCAAATTCCACGAAAACTTTTCCACTTCCAAGTTCAGTACCGTACTTGAACTTCCAAGCGCAGTGACAGATATTAAGATAAGCGAGTTTATTTTATCACTTTCATTATCAGCAGATACAAGGATTTGCAAAATATAAATAACGTGCAGTGAAGGGATGGCGAAAAGACCATACGGTCATTTAATTAAGTATAAAGACATCTGTCATAAGATTAAGAATAAGATGTATGAATCTAGAAATATTTGAACAAAATGTTTGTAGTATGGTAACAATAAAACAAAAACAAAATTGAACATAATTGGAAATAGAACAAGCAGCAGACATGAAGTTATTAGCGCAGCGCTTAGGATCAACAGCAAAGCTGTGCCACGCAATCTTGTGTCATGTCTCTCTGGATATGTGAACATCAGAGAGCTCACACCATGATTGCATGAAGAAATGGATGAGGATGTTGTACGAGAGAGTATGCGCATTATGTGGCTATTCGTAACATCGAACTGATTCCTCTGCGTATTGCTCTGCTTTGTGCTGCTACAGAACGTCATGACAGCAGTACCTACGTCGTGTTGAAGGGAACTGTTGACAGCGGTCATGTTGAAGATGCCGGCGACGTTGTTTTGCCTGAAGTTCTTCATGTAACGTGAAATGGCAACTTCCTTAATATGATAGATTTGGATGACATCTGTCACGCGTAGTTAGACTTATATTGCTGAATGGCGCATATATGACCGCCGGAGAATGTATAACTGTTGTGTATAAAAGTTGCAAAGATATTAAAAATCTGACCGTTATTTCATGAAAATTTTTATAAAATAGTGATACGAAATAGTACGCGGATTGTGCGCCCATTTACCTTTTTCAAATCATGTGCTGTTTACGAATCTTCATTCGCTGGATTTTCCTCGAGCTCCGCCCACTTTAAAAATAGTGCTAGCATTGTGGCAGTGGTATCTTGAGTGTGCGAAGGGGCACTGCATGCAGTTTGATTGTGGCAGTGGTATCCTGGACCCCGTTCCACAGTCGTGGATTAACTTTAACCCTGAGTTAAGACTAACTCTGAGTTAAACTCACTAACTCTGAGTTAGTAAACTCCGAGTTAAATTTGGGTTTCATAAACATGGATTAAATCCTGAGTTAAATAACTGAGAGTTAACTCGGAGCAAGACTCAGAGTAACTCAGAGTTAACTTAGTATCCTATAATTCCACATAGTTAGAACAGACGAACATGATAGACGCATGATAGACGCATAGACGATAGACGCATGATAGACGCACGAACATGGTAGAAGGTGTAATGAAAAAACGTTATAATGAAAACCAGCAGCGATAACATAAATAAATGAGGGGAAATATTTTGCCAATGCGGGGATTGAACCAGCAACGTTCGCGCCAGTAGCACTGGCGCTTTAACAACTGCGGCTATTGCGACATCGCTAAATATCGTACATTTTCCCATATTATCACAGTACGGATGCCTGGATCAGCGTTGGTACGCCATCAATGGCCGACCAATGTACACCAAACGTAAACAAACACCTATGTTCCAGCGGCAGCGGGGGATCGGACACGGGGCAGTACTAGATAAACTAATTAGCTGTAGTACTAGTACCCTAGAGCTAAACTAACTCCGTAGAAACTACGAGTGTACAAACGGGCGCTGGATGGAGTTTGTGGGGTTATAGCTAGACTGGTACCCGTTCGCCACCTTCACTCCGGCAAGTATCCTTCGCTACACTGAAGTTAGTTAGTGTAGCATGTGGAACTGTCGACCGGGGAGCAGTGTAGGTTATAGCCGGCCGAGCCGTCTGCCGGAAAGTCGTAGCGAAACGCTATGCATATAGCCTTGTTGCGCCATCTATCGCAGGCCATATGTACTAGTAACACTGTCACTGATATGGGGGCCTGAACTAGTCGCTGGCACAAAAAAGTTCAACTCCGTTTTTTACAGCAAACCAAGCGCGCCGAGTAGCGAACCAAGAATTACGACCATTTCTAGGAAATCTCTAGCTACGTGGGTAGTCAAACCCGTCGTGCAATCGCCAGAACTGCTCAATTCAGCGATAGCCCCACAATTGCGTCTATAGTGGACCCCATTGAAATTGCTATTCAATGAGTGCAGCGTTGTTGTGTTAGTGTGCCGCTACGCAGCGTTTTTCGCGCTTTGCGCGATATCCGGGCTGCCGATCGTCCAGTTCCTGTTGTAGACTATCACAAAATATATCGTGATTAAAATTTCTCATTGAACGTATGACAATTTTCTCTTTTTGATCTACCCTATTATGTTGCACAAAAATAAAAATCGGTAAATGGTCTGAAATTTCATGTGTAATTATACCAGAGTTTATAATATTGCTGAGATTGTTAGTGTAAAAATGGTCAATAAGTGTTTTAGATGATTGGGTAATATGAGTTGTTTAATAATTAGAGGCATAAATTGATTGGAATAGAGCATATTAATATAGTTGCTGGTTTGGCTGTTCGATTTCTGTTTCACAAAGATCTATGTTAAAATCGCCACAAATGAATAGTTACCTTGCAAGAATTTATTAAAATTTTGGAGAATATCATTCATTTGTGTTTCAAAGGGCTGTATTTCATTGTTCGGATGTCGATAGATGACATCAACTGTAGAGTTTTTTTTATTGAAGTTACCTAATCGTGATTCAGGGTTCGACACTAACGCTAGTCCGTTATGTCCCGAGACTAGCTAAAAAAAGCAGGAAGGATAGTAGTTTCCCATAGCAGTTAGTCCGCGACGGGACTAGTTATATTTCCCACGTCCCTCACACGTTCCGCAAATTTGCACCCAGCGGCCAGCGTTCTCTCATCCAGATCCAGAGGCTATATTATAACTCGTCCCCTATTAACAAGTTTCCCCTCTAAGGCATGCTAGACCCTACTACGGCCAGTACAAACATCTGTTAAAAAACAATGGGCCCCACGAAACCTTGACAGCTGTTGACATAGATACAGAACGGTCCTGAGTTGTAGAAAATGACACACACTAATATGCAGTTATGTAACCCTCATAGTCCACGGTTTACATCGCAACCGGCACATTCGCATGCGTGTGTACTTGAAGCCCGCCTTGAAAGCAGTGATACAAATAGTAGTGAAGCTAATAGTACGGTACTAATTATCCAATAGTAATACTACTAACATCCCCACAATGGTTGTTATGTGGAAGTATTGGACCGGCGCTCGCCCTCCACCTTCCAAACGTAAAATCGGGCAGGAGAGAGCAAAAATAGATGACGCAGCGTGTCTATGATAAGACGAAAAAAGATGTCGTGCGTGTTCAGCCAGCGTTGGAAATCGTCAAGCGCGTGGCGATGAGTATGACCGGAGCCAAGGGTATTGACTGTGGGTGCAGGCTGTATGTCTGCGTAGTTTTTTCACGCGGCACTACAAACTATCGTTTGGAAACTGCGAGGGGCAACAGAAAGATCCTAGCAAAAATGAAATGGCAGGACCACATGCCTGTTCCACGAAACGCTGGGGGCCAATGACGGCCAGAACTGAGATTGAAAACTGGTGTGTGGGCGATTCAAAAGAGGTGATAAAAGGGACACGCACAGCACACGACCGCACGCACGCTGTACGTGCACAGCACCGGCACCACTGCGCGCACGTGTCACGTGCAGCACTACGCCCGCACCGCACAGTGTACGGTGCCACGGCACGCACGTGTTACGTGCACACGCACCCGCACTGCACACGTGTTACATGCCCACGCTACGCCACGCACGCTGTACATGCACACGACACGCGAGGCACGTGTATGTGGCACACGTCGGTTACACACAACACGCTACCAGTGCACCGCACATTGGTCACGTGCATTACGCACGGCACGGTGTACGTGCATTACGCACGCACGTGTACGTGCCCCACACGTACGCACGCCCGCCGTGTAGTGACACAACGCATCCCGCACACACACACGTGCCACACGCACGCCAACGCCAACGTGTACGTGCACTTGCACGCACGCACCGCACGTGTACGTGGCAGCACGCACGCACACACGTACGTGCCTATTGGCACGCACGCACGGTGTACGCTGGCCACACACGCTGTAACGTGCGCTATCTCAGCGCACGCACACGTGTACCGTGCAACGCCACGCATGTGCCACACGCACGGCCGCGCACGTGTCGTGGCACACTGCAACCGCCACGGCAAGTCGGCGCGCACGTGTACGCTGCACATGCACGCACCCACACGTTACGTGCCAACGCAGGCACCAGTGTACGTGTACGTGCAGATCAGCTTTCCTCCAGATGTCCTTTGCAGCCTTCTGACTTTGCAACTCTGATTTCATCTTATTTACGGCTTTATCCCCTATCGTAACCTAGAACGCCATTTGTTTTTAGCAGTGATAACGCGCCAGAGTGCACCGTCGCGCCCAATCTATCCAGCGATTAGTAAATGCGCGAACCCATATAGAATGCAGCATGCTATTGGAAAAACGGCAGGCCCTACACGATTACGTCAAGCTTAGGCGTCCTGTATAATGTCAGCTGCGTGCCAGCTTGACAGGCAGGGGTTAGATTGTCCGGCAGCACGTGACCTCACCGACAAGCGCCTGCAGAGGTTCATTACAGGCCATAAGCCGATACAGGCGCCGGAACAGTTTGTAGCGCTATAAATGAAGTGTGATAAGTGCGGAACGGATCCACAGATTTTCTCATCACAGTACGGCCCGACGAAATTTATTTCGCATTAAAATTTAATTTAAATTTAAATTTTAATCTTATGCCTCCATATCAAAGTTACATAGTATTTGTATACAATTGAATTGTCTTTTACAAAAACCTTTTCTGGGGGACACCGCCTTGTAGCCCTGGGAGAGACCGCCCTGTACCCCTACCGGCAGAAGGGGGCTCGCACCCTCCTACACCTAACCTCCCGCAAATCACAATCGCTCATCGCTTTGCGCCTAGTAAGAGTCCTTCGCAGGACTAGTAGAATCTGGTAAGGACTAGTAGCATTTTTTCTCTTTACGCAGTCCTCGTGGACCTAGTGAACTAAAAAATGGTTAGTTGTCTAACCGCTGGTGATCCGCATTTGCTCAAGCATGCCACTCCTGTCCAATGATATATCATGCCTGGCAAAGTATAATTAAAGTTATCTCTTATATACATCCCAACTCCTCCAGCATTAGTAAACTCCAGGACAGAGTTGTTTACATACGACCATCGTACGTATTGCAACCCAACATGATTTAGGATACTCTACTCTGCCTTACCTGATATGTTCTGTTGTGCTCTACTTTGTATGTTCCATCATTGTATTCAGTTGTAACCCAGCTCTGCCAGTTAAATGATTGTATCTAAGAACTTAGAAGAGTTGTCCAATGGCAATGGCAATGCCCATGGCAATGATTAGAGCAATGCCAATGCCCTAGAAATTTTTGTAATCTAACGTTATTCTACTGGACATGGTCACATTGTAAAAAATTCTTGGGCACAATTTCTTGGTCAATGAATGATATGTCAGTGTAGGCATTACTAATCGATCGGATCAACGTTACTATTATAATACTAATGGAGCAGGAACGTCGTTGAGTCCTCGCCTTCGTTACATTACGTTGGAAAATGTTGAATATTCTTTACCACGTAAACTCCTAATGATTATTCTTCAAACCGACTGTACGGTGAAGTAAAGAGCCAAAATTGCTCAAGTTGATAGATGAGCACTCTGGCTTGTACTTTCAGTACTGGTAATAGAACACGTTTCAGGTTTACAGTTACCTAAAGCAGAAGGAAGAGAATTCTAATATAGAATAACAGATGTAAATATAATTGAATTTTCAATGGATCCTTAAAAGACGATACATTGTGAAAGCCATGGCGTACAATCAAACTACACACCTAGCAAGGGAACCACACTTCTGCAACGTTGATATAGAGCTCTACCTTTAAACCCAATTTCAATTCTATATATGAGAGTTTTTTTTCAATTTGCGGAAACCATGCAGTTAATTGCTAAATATAGGTATACACAACCTCACCACCCGTGTGGCCTATTCAACTATAAACAATAGGTATGCCAATTCTTATAGGAAGCTGTATTTTGCAGGTTGAAGCAATAACGACAGCATGGCAGGGAAGACTATGGATAGGCTGTTGCAGATGGTGGGACCTGGCTGGTATCAGGTGGCAGTGTACATCTTGTTGTGTCTCAACTATATACCTGTCAACAACAATCATACGATCATGGCATTCTTTGGGCTGCCTTTATCACACAGGTGCAAGGTAAATCTTACCAACATGCTTGGTTAATATCAGGTGCATGTTAGCTATACTCTGCAAAAGATAGGTTCAGTGTCTGCAGTTACTCTTCTGTATTTGTACGATTATGAAAGAAGTGTTAAGGTGAATTGCCTATATAGAGTTTAGGTAAGAGCTAGCAAACATCATATATAGTGGAAAAACGTGTTCAGCCTGACGACAGTGATGGCTATCTTTCAATAATCTTTGTGAACTTTTGAACTCGCTCGGGTACGTGGGTGCAACCGCAGTTACGCATTCAAAACTTACGATCTTCTCGTTCAAGGTGCCGGAAAACCTGACGACAACGCTTCCGAGCATGTCGCAGGTGGCAGCGGACACGTGTCACCTGAACGTCACCACGTATACGGGTGACAACAGCTCGGAATTGTCACGCGTGAAATGTCCCGGACAGTGGGAGTACGATCGCGGCGATCCGGGACCGCTGGGCTTCTCTGATTGGACGATCGCAAGCGAGGTACAGAGCGCACGACTTTGTGTGGAAATATGATACATACATGATACAGCTACTTGGCTGATGATTGCAATCTTGAGAATGAAAAAAGTTCAACCCGCATTACCTATTCCATGTTTAACTCCCTAACAACAGTAGGACCTTTGTGTAAGCACCATGTTTCTTCCTTTCCACGTAACAGTGTAACCTCGTGTGTAAGCAGGCATGTGTTTTCCTTCCCCAACAACAGTGGGACTTCGTGCGTGTGTGCGTGCGTGTGCGTTCATGTGTGCATGTAAGTGTTCATGTTTCTATGTTTCTTTCTTCCCCCCGACAACAACAGTGGGACCTCGTGTGTGTGTGTAAGCGGCCATGTTTCTTCCTTCCCCGACAACAACAGTGGGACCTCGTCTGCGTGTGTGTAAGCAGCCATGTTTCTTCCTTCCCCGACAACAACAGTGGGACCTCGTCTGCGACCAGCGCTTCCTCGCGAGCCTCGCAACAACCATCTACTTTGTCGGCGTCATGTTCGGCGGAGTCGTCTTCGGCGCGCTGGCGGACGCGTTCGGACGCAAGCCCGTGATGCTCGGCTGCCTCTACGCACAGATGTTCGTCTGCCTCGCCATCTACTTCTCGCAGGGCTACGTCATGTTCGTCGCGCTGAGATTCGTCCTTGGATTCCTCCTGCAGGTGAGGCAGAGGAGCTGTCGTCAAGGCGACCCGCCGTTGCGCGCTCACTTTTGCATCAATCATGAACAACAGTGTTTTCTGTGCTTTCTTTTCTGTATTTCGTAGTGCATGATGACATTATGCTGTGTGTTAGTGAATGATCTTTGCTTTGATAGTTGCATGCAGCGCTATTGATTACGTTGTCCGTTGCTGCGAAGGTATTTGTAATCATTCATTGCTGCAATTATGCATGTTATTCATTGCTGAAAATGTATGCAGAACTATTGGTTATCTTGTTTATGTATGACTGAGCGTACAGAACTATTCGTCATTGTTTGTTGTCAGGACGACTCACTGCGGTTGTTCATTGCTTACAGGGATTGCAAAGCACTTCGTTCATCCTCATCATGGAGATGTTTATGCCTGAACATCGCACAATCGTCGGCACGATTGTCGAATGCTTCTGGGCGCTAGGCAACATGTGGCTGGCGTTCCTGGGCTTCCTTTTCAGAGACTGGCACTACATCCAGCTGGCCGTCACACTGCCAAGCATCCTTGCCATCGGCTACATCTGGTAAGTTTACTATCTTCTACTTATGGTGCATTTATCATCTTCTACTTCTGGCGTGTTTACCATCTTTTATCTCTGCTAAGTTTACTAACTTCTACTTTTGGTGAGTTTACCACAGTGGTTGGGAGGGTTATGCGCAACATCTACGAACAATTGAACGTTACCAGCAGCTAGAAGCAGTTGCTACAGAGCAAGTGTGCAGAGCGTGCATGGCAATGCCTACACGTGTTTATTTTAATCATATTGTAGATATGGCTTAGAATTCAAAATTTACTAGGATACATACGTTTGATTACTGTTAGGTCTTGGATAAAAGCATTTATCAACTACATAACGAATTTATCTGAGCTTGATATTTTCACGGCATCTAGGTTGATTCCGGAATCGCTGCGCTGGTTAATTGTTAATGGGAAGGTGGAGAGTGCTAAACAGGTCGCAGAAAAAGCCGTCAAGTACAACCGAGTCAAGGTCGTTCACAGCTATCTACACGACACCATAGACGGTGAGCAGTAGACACTATATTAGCCGCGTTCACACGGAGCGAAACGACCCATGTCAAATGCGTCCTGGGCCAAGCGTTCACACGGACGTTTTCTCGGTACGAAAACGACCCGAGCGCTGGTTCATTTTTGCCGTGTGAACGTGCACCGGCACACGACCCGGGTCAGAATGAGTACGGCAGTAGACGTCACCAATGTCGAGAGCCAGAGTTTGATTGTTTAATTCGCATTGTTTGCTTGGACGCATTGTATTTTTTTCTCAGCTCGCAGCTCGCATAGCAGGCAGCTCGCATAGCGTCGTGTTCAGTGTTCGAAATTCACGTCGGCCCGTCGGCCGCCGCCGACAGTTTCGGTCCGGGTCCTACAGCTTCTTGATTAAAACAGGCCCGCTGATCCTACAGCTATTTGATCACCGAAGAATTCGAAACATTGGAGAAACTTGTTTTACCTGTAAGAAATCTTTTCTTGCATATAACATCCAGGGTATCTTATTTGAAATACTAATTCGTGATAAACCGTGACGTGTAAACAATGCGTTTGCCCCTGCATAATTGCAAAATGAGAAGAGCGATAGCCTGGAACCTGTTCCAAAGCTGCGCACCACATTGTGTAGTAAACTAAAGCAGGGTCTCCTACGCATTCCGGCATTCGCGAGGAATTATTAAGATTTCTAGGGCTTAATTTCCGCACTCGCAGCGGCAAGGTGTATATTCCTCATTTTCAGTTAGCACTGTATTAAAATTTGCATCTGAATTGTTCGCATTGTTCGCATTGGCACTACATGGATTTTTTTTTCATGCCGCGGTGTGCTGGCACTGGCCCTGAGTTTATTTAATAGTCGTCACTGCGCTGAGTCGGTTTCTTGGAAATGCACGCTCCTGCCATTAGTATTTGCACCTAGACTCCTACGCTTGCTCAGTGTTTAATATGTGTTTCTTTTGCTTTGTATCTGATCTATGTCTACGGTAAATTGGAACAGGCCTTAGTCAGGAACAGGTCGCTGTCTACAAGGTGTCGCGTAGTTTGTTCTGCGTAATGATTAACACGTGGGGAGAATGGCGTTCCAATTTTTTTGTTCTCATTGCTATCTAAAATAACCGCGACTTTTACAGAAATTTTTTCAGAATCGAATATATCACAGAATGTGGCCTGGTACTTGTGAAGTCGAAACTCAGTGTTTTAATCATGGCTATTGGCATCGGATTGCATAGATCAAGACTTTCAAGTGGCGTGCAGCGGAATGGAGGGGTGGACTGCCAATAGGCATATATGTCTTCTTCAAACAAGGCAGAATTGTGCTATGTCGTTGTTGGCGTGGAATCTCCTACCCAATATTATATTCAGCTTCTTGCAGCAGATAGAGGAATTGTCTGTCTTCACGCAGAACGTGAGATTTTACGGATTAATTTAATTGAACACGGCATTTTCAGGCGCCAACCATGGCAAATGAACTCTTCAAGAAAATGTTTCCAGACTCACAAATAGCCAAAAATTATGGTTGCAAACATAACAAAAACACGTGAAATTGTGAGAAAATTGCAATTCTTATCTGTTGTTTTAATACATGTATCGAATTACTTATCAGTAACGCTAAACTGTGTATGCTCTGCTGAAGTTATTAGAAAACTGCTTTTTGAACCTAAACTTGATAGGGTTAAGTTCTTAGGGTTTGAGATAGTTGATCATTTCAGACATGAGAATATGGCCCACAGTAATGCTCAGATTGCAGAAAATGGGCTTAAATAATTCAAAATGTTTCTGGGGGTGGCAATGGCCGCCCAAACCCCCTCGAGCAGCTGGCATGCCTACGACACGCGGGCCTGCCTGCGGAGCCAAGGTAATTACACCCCCCCCCCCCCCACTCGCAATGTTATGAGACGCTACTACGTTTCTACCGATGTGTACCAGACTACCAGTCTGTCTCTCTGCTGTCAAAGTAGAGAGTGATAGTTACCAAGGAGCTACATATAACAACCATGTGGCGTTTCCTTAATTGTGAGCCCCCGGCAAAGAAGCATAAGCAGTCATCCGACGAGAGGAAGGAAAAACAGAGGGATTATGATTATGGACATTGATAATGACTAATAAACACAAGGAAGAACATGATATGCTGTTTTATTACTGTAATTTGCTCCAAAATTGGTGGGCCTGCAACTTTTAAGAGCTATAGGCACTGCAGGCCTACAGCTTTTTCTGCTCAGTGGCAAACACTGGTCGTGTTGTGAACGCTCTCTTCAACGACGCTCCGTGTCATTTTCGATCCTGGTCAGTCTCGGATCGTTTTCGACCCGGGACGAACGCTCTGTGTGAACGCAGCTATAGAGTCTATTTAAGTCATGATTTACACTCTTACATGATCAGATTACATCATTTATCATAATCATCAAATTACTATATTTACCTCTGCCCATGGAGTGGAGGAGGTTATGTGATCTCGTGTAGTGTGTTCGTGTGTTCGCGCGATCGATATTAGCGCGTCGAGTCGGCGAGCCAGCCAGCGAGCGAGCGGCGAGCCAGCCAGCGAGCGAGCGGCGAGCCAGCTCGTAACACATACATGTTACATGCTGGCAGAGGTAAGCACTCTCCGTGAGTGCCCTCTGTCTAGTTCCATGTGAAATACAACTTATGCGTGCACTGCCATTACCAGTTTTCAATTTAATTTTAAACTGTCAATGTAAGGTGAGAACGTGTATAAATTGTAGCTTGATATTATTTCCTGTTGAAATACAACTTAAATATGTGCACCGGCTTTTCCAGTTTTTGAGTGCGGTCTCAAAGCTTGTGCTTTGTGGTTCTGAGCTTTTTTGGTGGGTGTTAGGTTAATTTAATTGCATTTTTACTCTAGAGGTGGCAGCACAGACGAGCAAGAGTGATGACACAGAGCCGACGCGCCGCTATACAGTGCTGGACATGCTGCGTACGCCGATGCTGCGACGACGTGCGCTCAGCATGTTCTACATCTGGTACGCGTCTGTGACGTAGCTGTGTAGTCGTCGTCATACTCGCCCGCATAAACAACGATGTGGCATGCTTGCAGGTCATCTCGCTCTGGCACTGCTAAAATGTCACTCGTTTGCAGACACCATCACTGCAACCTGGTGTAAAGTAAAAGTGTCCCTTGCCCATACACCATTTTCACATCCCTCCCCCCTTTAAAAAAAATTGTGGATTTTGTTGCGTTTCGTCATCGGGTGGCCCTCCACCACTAAACCATCCAAACCAGCATACCAAAACCTTATCAAGTTGCCTACAGTCCCCTGTGAACTACACAACTATCCGCTATGCCTCCCTCCCGAAGTCCGATCGGCTTTTCCAAAAATCGGGCACTCGTCAAAAATCTAAACCATAGGAATTTTTGCGGAAACCTCGCCTATGGTAATTGCTTGTAATTGTAATTGTAGTTGTAATTGGTTATCGTAATAGCACATGGTGTCGCGCTACAGGCCAGTGAATGCTGACGCTGTTAGCAGAGGTTTCTAGACGGTCGCCCGTTGCCGTGTTTCTAGTTGTCGTCTGGTTGCAGGTTTGCGACATCGCTGGTCTACTACGGCTTGCTGCTCAACATCGGCAAGCTCTCCGGCGACAAGTACCTTAACTACTTCATCAGCGCCTGCATCGAGATGGTCACCTACGTCATCGCCATCTTCCTCATATCTAGGTGACTATTGCACATGCACACGTGCGCACGCACACACACGCACATGCATGCACGCACACATGCACATGGATGCACACACGCGCGCGCGCACACACACACACACACACACACACACACACACACACATGCACACACACACACATGCACACACAGGCTCTTGGAACATAAAAATTCGTTGTTCTTGTTGTTTATGCACAGCGGCGTGCGGGCGGTATACTTGTGTGTTGTAGAGGAGCATTTGAGCTCGTACCTGAGTGATGCACGTAGTTGAAGGGGTTTGCATTTAAGGCTGTGAATGTTCTAAAAAAAGAATTCTGCCGTTTTTTATCTACTTTGTTGTTAGTAGATGTATTCTACTGTACCTATGCTATAATTGAAGCTGTTCGGCTTTTTATCACCTATCGCAGTATCCAGTGACCCCTCACGATTAATGTTGTTGCAGATTTGGTCGGCCAAAGCCACTGGTTGGCTTCTTTTTGACTGCGGGGATTAGTTGTATTTTCTCTGTTGCCCTGCCAGACGTGATAGGTGAGTAGCAGATTGCACCAACTGTTGGTACCTCTACTAAATTCACGTTACACCACGAGACCTACCTGTATGGAATAAGCATATACGTGCTTTCGGCAGTGGCAATGTTAACGGTCTATTCTTTTAGTTCACACACACACAAACTGTAAAGGATATTTTAATTTATACTTATACGCACTTAAATGGGAAAATATACGATCTGCAGTTTTTGTGATTTGCCAAAGTGGCACCCGGTGGATTCTGATTCAGGATAGTCTAAAGATCAGGAAACCACAAAAAAACCTTTTATATACCCGATTGCAACGTTCAGTCATTTGGCAACCGGACTATTTTGCTTCTTTTTTCTTCCCTTGCAGGCGACTTTCGCATGCAGAATGTGAAGACGGGTTTTGCGTTCCTCGGCCGCTGTGGAGTCTCCGGCTGCTTCTCTGTCATCTTCATGTACACGTCGGAGCTGTTTCCGACAGTCATCCGCACGGTGGCCCTCGGCGCGTGCCTTTTCTGGGCGCGTTTCGGCGGGGTCGTCGCTCCTCAGATCAACCTCCTCGTAAGCGTATATTGATCTGTGTGTGTGTGTGTGGGGGGGGGGGGCGCATGTGTGTGCGTGGGGGGGGCATGTGTGTGTGTGGGGGGGGGGGGTGCGTGCGTGCCTGCACGCGTGTGTGCATGAATACCTTTGTCTCGACCGTACCGGGAGAAAGCGGGACTCCCGTCATTGTATTTCGTCGTTCATATAGATGCTCGAGGGAAACGCGCTCCCGGGTCTCGAGTTTTGTGCACGAGTTTTGGGACCGTTCTGTGCGATTATTTGTTTTATTCAAAATTATGAAATTATTAATGATCATATGATTATTGCATAAGTGTAGTAATTTCATTGCATTTCTGTCGCATAACATTTCTCGTGTCAACTGCATCGATCGTATTTCAGGACAGTGGCACGGGCTTCCAGAGGGCGCCATCAATCGCCTTTGGCTGCATCGCTATCGTTGGAGCGGTAATCGCCTTCTTCCTGCCGGAGACCCTTCACAGGAGACTTCCTGACACGCTAGAGGAAGCAGAGAGGTACGATCGCGTAGCAGCCATCTAATGGTGATTCTCCATAAAATCTGTACCTTCAAATCTTCTGATGATAGAGAATTTTTTAGTGATCATATAATGAGCCGATAGGGTGGGTCTTTATAGGTCATAATCGAGATGACTGATATTATGTAATTATGTATTTGCATTAGGGTAGTAATTTCATTGCAAGTGAAAGCATACTGGAGTATCGTCTACGCAGCGGCATGTTTACGATGGTGGTGGGTTTTGGTAAGATGGTGACTGTTGTACTCTGTAAATCTCACGTAATCTTTGTGTAAAGGATTGTCTCTGGAGGCTTCTCACATGCTGTTTCTTCTTCATCACAATTCGCAGGCTCGAGTCGTTTCATCAAGAAACAAGTTATGATTCCGTGGGTCACGAGATGGTGGACCAATCAGACATGTCAGAGAGGGTATAGTTGTCAATGCGTGGCTCCACCTCGTGGCTGGATGAACGAGACATGGATATGGATACATATCACGAACTGCACTTCAGTATTGACCAAAGGGTATACAACCATCCCACACACTTTCATTCCAGGAAGCTGTGACATCCAAACGTGTGTGTGCGTGCGTGCGTGCGTGCGTGCGTGCGTGCGTGCGCGTGTGTACATCTGTGTGTGTGTGAGTGTGTGATGTTTATTTTAGGACAAGATGTACAGTAGTCACTAGCAATCACCGAAGCCACTTGCACCAAAGTTTCTGCTTGATAATGTTGTTGCCTGTGCTGCATAGACACAAGGCAATAGTGTGGCACTTATTTACTTATTATCTGCCAAAGGGAGTGGCTAGCCAACCACGTGTAGGGATGAAGTGAGCATAAGAATAATGTTAAGTTGTGAAGATAAGTGCAGGTATGGCAAGGCCAGTAGTTATAGCAGTGTGCGTATTGCAGCAAGGCTGCGTTGAGTGCAGACTAGAAACAGGATAGGGATATGTTGTTGTTATCAAAGAATTGCTGTATTGCCGAAGGTAACCCGAATTTACTAGTAGTGTTAGTTACTGTGGACTGCATTATACACCTTCCTGCCATTTATACTTCATAGATCGATAAACTGAACCAAGAACAATTACCAAAGACAGAGAACCTGTCTTAAGACACTTTGTTCTGTTGCAGTGTGGGCACTGGCCCAAAGTTAGGTAAGGCAGCTGGTGGGCAAACAGAATCATAAATTAATAGCAAATTATACATCCATATTTAAACACCTTATACACTTTTTCCTATTTCGATTCCTATTCGAAACAAACTTCTCATTTTACAATTGTATTTTTCATCTGTTATAGTATTTTTATTAATGTTTACGAGCATAAATTTTTATGTTCTGGTTACTGCATTATTGTAAATGTGCTGTGGTTTATGGAATTTTTTCTCAGGATCTCATCATCTCACTATTTTACTTGTTTCACATTGGTCAATATCTATATCTAATGCATCCACGTTCCTTCTCTTTGAATATAATGGTAATAGAAGGATGCAGCTAGGTCATCTAGTAGGATAGGAATACAGCTAAATGTGAAGAATAATGCTTATTAATTAACTGGGATGACTACGACACATACCAGTGTGTGGTGTCATTAGGGTCAGTGAACATAGGGCTACGTGGAAAATAATGTCAAGCGTGTCATCGGTAGTTTTTTGATTCACGTTGTCATTGTTGGTCAGCTGAACTCTTGTGATGGTGAGTTTGCGCTGCCAACCGTTGCTGGCTTCCACTAAACAATGACCTTGTAAGGTCATTTACACATGTAGTATAGCGTAACAGTGTAATATATTGTGTATAGCTTGTAGCCAGGAAAAAAATTACTTTTTTTTCAAGGGAAATTTTTTTCAAGTCTGTGGAAAAAATTGCTCTCGTCAAAAATGTTACGGGAGCTATTTTGAGCCTCACGGGAGCGATTGCGGAGGTTTGAAGAGCGAATCGCTGATCGCTTCCGTGTATTTTTTACCCTGCTTGTAGCTGTAACTGTACAGTGAAAAGTGTAGCTTCCAACGTCGTGTACGTCTGCAATCTTTCCTTCCATCATGGTAGCAAGTAATTAAGTGCAAACGACAATTTATTATATACACGGAGCTGAAATCTCCTGGTGGAATGTGGAACCTTGATGATGCGCACATGTTACTGTTGACGCCGATTGTTGCTTTTGTTATCGCTATTATTGTTGCTGTTGTCAGTGTCGTCATTGTTTGTATATTGTTGGTTGGTTTGGAAGTCAATTTTCGTTGTTGTGCAGTGGAAGATTTTTGTCTTCCCTTTACTTAAACACTACTGAAAATTAACGTCAGGTATATTTTTGGCACAATTCCAGTTTATCGACTCAGGAATCAGAAATCTGGAGGTGCACGCATTTCATGTTATTACTTGCTCGTTGCCAGTCTAAGGGCATGTCAAGTTGATATTAGGATCGTGCCCAATTTTTCATTGATATTATATATGTGTGTGTGCATGTGTACGTACGTATCTGCGTGCTTATTGTACACACATACACTGCTACTCGATATTTTTGTTGGTTGGGTTGAGTAACAGTCACTTACGAGTCAAGACCATATCATATTGTGATGGACATTTTGACACAAGTTACAATATATATACATATTAATTAAATATATGTGCGTATGACCGTAAGTACATGTTTCTCCATACTAAAGTCCATTGTGCATACATGACGTTATGTACAAAGGACATCACCAATTGTGTAATAAATTAATTTTGGGTCAAAGAAATGTTTTATGATTGACTTCTTCTTACAGAAAACATATCACAACATGACATTCTTTCGTATATGTACGTGAAATGTTAATAGTGCCTATGTTATGACAGCCACCAATAGATACTGGGAAAAATGGATAACCTTAGACACTGACTATTCCACAATGAGCCTACGTTTTTTAAGTGATTGGTCTGGCTGTAACTCCTTACGCACTTGTTACTGCAATTTGCTCACTCACTGTACATGTGTTGCACTTGGAATAAAGGATTAAAAGATGAAATCACTTACATGCACAACTGCAGGGCGTTTTAGCAGGAAACTTGCATATATAACTTTTTATGGCGGCCACATAACAATCGGTGAATGTCATCATCGGTGAATGACCGGTGAATGACCGGTGAATGCCGTGTGTTCTTAAAACACGTGGGTGACTTTTACCGCAGAACGAACCCGTACGTAGAGCTTCTACACGTAAGTTCACGCTACTTCTCGGGTGTTGTTGAGGTGTGGTGCCAGCCGCTGGCCATGCCGTAGCTGCCTCCCCTACGTCAGCAGTAGGAGATGACTCTTGTAGCACGCAGCATCGAGTACACGGTGTACACCATCTGGACGTCGGCCGCTTCGTTGATTCGTGTTCGCGCCTCCTCGCTGGCTGTCTCCATCAGCAGGTGATATACGTCCCCACAATACTGCAAGCACACACCACACTCCCCCATATACTACCTCGAAAGTGACAGCGGTTAGAGTCGCTTGGCCATCGCTGGCAAGGTTATTGAATGGTGATGAATGAAACTTATTGATTATGTTATTTCATAATATTGGTCTGGAATTACACGTTCAAGTAGCTTTGTATATTTCTCGTCAGTTACGGAAAAGTACCATCCAAAAAGCCTGAGTTAGTGTTAGGGTGCATGCCAAGCATCGTATTAAAGATTGCTTAGTCAGAGATATTAGCTGGGAATGATTAGCTGCAGTAGGGTAACTTACGGGCAGCGTGTCCTCCGAGCTGTCGGCGAATTCGTCCGTGTATTCGTCCATCTTAAGCTTGACCGCTCTGTGATTTGTGACCAGGAACAACGACCAGTCACTCTGCAGCAAGCAATGGCGACGCGTCATCGCCCGCATACCCAACAACCCCATGCACTCGGACCAGTACGCACGCACAAATTCACATGCGAAAAGCCAATAAAGTTAACTCACAACCTAAATTTCGCGCAGCTTTCAGAACGAACCTCGGTGAAAAACAACGGCCCTATAGCTCTGCCTCCCGTATCGCATCACCAATCGCTTTAATGCTAATCCCCTGCGTATCACATCACCATTCCCTCTAGTCTAATGCTAGCTGCATGCATGTCTGCGATTGGGAGGACGTGGGTTTAGTAGGCTATATCTACCTCGCTAAGGAAGGTATCGCCGAGCTGCTCGGAAGCCTGCACGACAATGCTGCCCCCGCCCAGCTCGCCGTTCCACTTCGACCAGGCGTACGCATAGGCGCACGCCGTGGCAGCCATGTGCTGACAGAGCGCGATCTCGGTTGCCTCATCCTTGGGCTTCACGCTCACGTATCTGTGAGAGTCGGACTCCGGGAAGACGTTGACGCCAATACGCTGCAGCATCTAGAGGTAGGAAACATTTACGCTTCTATATTAAGGGAGGTTTTCGATCTCTGTATTGTGTCTAAGTATGATATATATGTGTGCATTTGTAATTTCGTTATGCATAAATTGTAAATGTAATTTTTGTTTGGTAAACAATATAGTTCTAGTTACTAGTATGTATTCAGCTATTGCTCCGTCTGTCTGTTTATTTATCTCTACGTTACTGTTTAATGCGTGCCATTACCTTCTTCAATTGACACGGCATGACCCACTTGCCACACAGTGCTGCCATCTGTGGCCGATCCGTGGGCTGCAAGAGCCGCACTTTATCTCCCTGACCAATAAAACACAAATATCATCACCACCTAACGACAGAAAATGTACGAGACGAGACGAGACAAAACGAGTTAAGAGATGATGATCCGTGTGAAACTTTCCAACTGACCTTGATCTCGAATTGAAGGTCGATGTTGGCAGCGGATAGTGTGAAGAGGATGGTCTGGCCCCCGGTGTGTGGTCGCAGCTCCCACGACTGGAACGGCATGCTCGTGTAACGGTCCTGCATGAGCGCATACGCACCGAACACGGACGTCCTGAACGACATGCTCCCCTCCGCTGCAATACAAGTAAATGTTCGACGTACTGAGCGAGAAACCTGCCTCCACTGCAACACAAGTAAATGTTCGACATACTGAGTGAGAAACCTGCCTTCGCTGTAACACAAGTAAATGTTCATACTGTATGAAGACCTGCCTTCACATACTGAGTGAGAAACCTGCCTTCGCTGTAACACAAGTAACTACTCATACTGAGTGAGAAACCTGCCTTCGCTGTAACACAAGTAACTATACTCATACTGAATGTGATGAGCCTCCCTCCACTGAAACAAACCTTCGTTGTAGACAACGTCTAGCATGCCATCCAACCGCCATTGCTGTATAGCCTGGTCCCAGTGAGCAAGCTGAGGCTCCTCCCAGAATATCACGTCCGGCGGTATCCTGCCAGCATCGAGGCCATGCGTCGAGGAACGTCAACCAACATTAAAGATGGAAAACGACTCGGCGCAAGACAGCTACGTTACTTTGCGTTTACTCTGAACATAATACTTTAAAATTGATACACGTATTGAAACCGACGTACAATTTAAACATTCCCGATCTCACGATCAACATATACTATCAGGAGTGCAACCGAACTGTTATGATGGGCTCCTATAATACTATGGAGTTGGATATGGAGTTGGATATGGATATGGAGTTGATAATACCAGTGTATAGATATGGACAAGAGATATATTAATTGGATATATTATTTTGGATATATTAATTTGGATATATTAATTGGATATATTAATTTGATATATTATATGGAGTTAATATTACCAGGAGTGCAAAAAAAAGTAAAAGCTGTTACAAACAACGTTATGTTGTTGTTTTTTGCTTTTCATTCACTCCTGACATGATTAATATTATTATTAAATCTTTATTGCATGTAATTTTATGTATATATATGTATATGTATATACATAATACATGTATATATGTTATATGTATTTATATGTAAATATCTCTCGCCGTGGTTTCTCGTTGCCTACCTGATGGTGACAGCCACCTGCTGGCCACCGCCTGACAAGGGCATCGTTGCCGTTGTAGGCGTCGGCTTGGGGTAAGGCACTTCACTGAGTGAGGTCTGTGTGCCGGTCAGCGAGCTGCCGGGCGTGGACCCGGGACCCGAGCGACCCAACACGCACTCACACACCCTCAGCTCCTGCGGCCTCTCTACTGCCGGAGGAAAACACGCACGGCATCACCACAGCTACACAGCACAGTCCCGAGAGTCGAACATCCGCACCGACTTTAAGCCTTTAGAAGTTGTTAACCGCACACAGGTGAGGCGTTATGGGTGCAGTCAAAATTTATTATAGATTGCTTTTATTTTTACGTATTTTTTGGAACTATCAGTATATTAGAACTGGGTCGGGTCGGGCATAACTATACATAATACCAGGAGTGAATAATAATAGATCTATTATTAAGATTGTTATTATCTATTATTATAGATCTAGAATCTATTATTATTCACTCCTGATAATACCAACTCCCTAATTTACGGTCTCGGGCATTCCCCGAATCTGGTCCATTGTAGAAATCGACATCTGCCATCGTCTACTGTTATCTATGTATAAGCTTACTCTGCGTCATAGTCCACTTGCTGACGAGCTTCGGCTGAGGAGGCAGCTGCAGGAAGAGGAAGCTGAGGACGCCTCCGAGCGTGGAGAACGCTCTCAGGTCTACCTCGTCGACGTCCATGACCCCTCCGTCGGTGGCTTCTGCAAACAAACATGGTTTAATTCGCTGGTCTTCCTTACCAATGCCAAATCGGATCCCCTCGTCACAGTCATAGCTCACCTTCTATGCTGCAGAGTGTCGGGGCAAGGCTTCTACCAGCTAGAGTGTCTCCCATGTTGCTGCTGCTCTCGGCTCCCTCTACTGACAAGGATGCTGCTGAATTGTAGTCAATCGTGGACTTCTTTCCTATAACGCTTTCCGCAGAAGGTGCTGTACTCTACGGAAACACATGTAATTTTAATTTAGATTAGTTTATCTAAGTCATAGATTATGAAAGATATATCCAATGTTTTACAATCAAGGATGGCATTTTTACTTGCTACTTTTACTTGAGTCTGCTAAGCTGTGAATAAAGACTAAATAGAATGAAAGTGTCAATGACACTGTAGCTCACCTTGGGTGTGATAGAAGAGGGAGGGGTGGATATATAAAGCAAGAGTATATATGGGAGAACTCCCATTATATAGCATATCTCCCATTATATACTATTGATAATGATATATGCATAAGTTTTGATGCGAAAATAAATGTTTCAGATCTGAAAATTAACATGTCTAAAATCTTGACGAGAGATGGCGCTATGCCTAAATGATCGCCATTTTGGTTTTCAAATATCGCGCAAATAAAAATCAATAAAATATTCCAGTCAAATTACTGTAACGAAGAATCTAAAACACAATATTAAACGTATATAGGTGTGATTGTAGAGTTGTTAACCAGTTAGGCGAAATAAACGTAATAGGACGTTGTCATCTCTCCCATAGGAGTAACAACTGTTTTGAGGCTAGCCTTACACATTCATATACCAAAATTTAACAAAATCGAATGAATCTAGATGGCCATTTTCATTTTTGCCAAAAAGTGTGCGTGGCTCGAAAGTATAGGTCGACTGGCGTGCTCCAAAATAGGACATTCAAATCTCTCCCATAGGAGTAACAACTGTATGCAATTTGAAACATGTGGGTCAAACGGTTCTTGAGTCATCGTTGACCGTAGGCAGACACGGAAATGCATAGTGAAATTGCTAAAATCTACCTAATTTGCATAATTTAAAAAAAATATCAAAACCCGTGCGATATGTTTTGGGGCCAGTCCTTATTCATTCACATACCAGAAATGAGCAAAATCTGTTAAACCTGAACTGACTTATGGCCTTTTCCATTTTTGCCAAAAAGTGGACGTGGCTCGAAAGTAGGTCGACTGCATGGCGCCCTCCAAAATAGGACGTTCAAACCTCTCCCATAGGAGTAACAACTGTATGCAATTTGAAACATGTGGGTCAAACAGTTCTTGAGTTATCGTTGACCGTAGCCAAATGTTGACGGACGGACGGACGTACAATATTAAGCTAAAATTATGAATTATTCCAGAAGTTATGTGATAATTTGCCTCAAGACATCTCACCTTGACAATCACGGACACATTTGATTTTTGCTCTTCTTCTTTTTGCACCACCGTGCTATCACCGTGATCAGCTAACGTTGATGTTGACTTCCCATCCGACCCTTCTGTGATGGTTGTCTCTAATAGTGACTCTATGCCCTTACCTGAAACAACAACAGAGTATGAACACTAGTCAGGCATCATCACCATGAAAAAGATCAAGTTCATTTCCAACGAGAAACGCCTCGCAAAATAGTTCATTAACACGCTCATCGATCACAATTGTTCATTGATTATGCATCGATATACGAGAGATAGATTAACGCAGTCGCACCCGTGTCGATTGCCGGCTTCAACTTGTTGCAGGCGTAGCTTCGAGCGAGCGCTGAGTAATGGTCATGCGACGTGTAGAGAATGCGGGCGGCTACGTCGGCCGACGTCAGGGATTTCGGGATCTCAAACGAGTAGCCTACGTCCTTAAACGAATGCGACTTCAACCTGCACACAGGGTGACAGCATGCCACGCATCAGCGATCGAGAGCATAGGTAAGCGTAAACCGTGGCATCTTGCTATGATACTCACAGATAGATGTCTACACGCTAGGTCCGTCCAGTACAGGATCAGCACAGATACAATATTATATTTTTTATACAGTGCATATTTGATACTTCTGACAAGACTGCTGATGAGACTACTGACTACTACTACTACTGACTACCACTGACTACTGATAAGATCAACCTATTGTCAGGGAGCATATTGCACTATATTGATACCTCGGCATATTGCACTATATTGATACCTCGGCATATTGCACTATATTGATACCTCGGCATATTGCATTATATTGATACCTCGGCATATTGCATTATATTGATACCTCTGTATATTTATATATTAATGCCTGCTGTTGGGGGCACTATGCTCTCATAGTGTTGCTGAGGGAAGGAACCTGAGAGGGAGGGGAGGAGGGTCCTTCCCAAAGCAACACTATGAGAGCATAGTGCCCCCAACAGCAGGCATTAATGTTTTTAGTGCATCACATGACTATGCAATCTACTTTTCATGCTTATATACCTTTATTATACTCCCTAATTTGCCGGTGCATTCGATGTATTTGTGTCGAGTGTTTTGTATTGTGCGCCATTAATTAAGATTTTGGCGTCTGGGCGCCACGCAGTGTCTATATTCAGGCCGGTACGGGAGATTACGGTACGCATATATTTGCTAATATATTGACTAATCGCGCGTCAATAAACTCAATATTCACAGAGAGTAT